CAGATTTAAAATGCATTAAATAAGTCCATGTAATTCTAGAATAATCATCAACAATGGTAAGGAAGTAAGAATGATTATCACGAGTTGGGGTAGAATATTTTCCCCAAATATCAACATGAATTAATTCAAAACAAGCAGTAGTGATAGTATTACGCAATGGAAAAGGTAAACGAGTTTGCTTGGAAAAATGACAAGTGTGACAAACATTATCAAAAGAAGAGCAGCCCAAATAGGGAACTAAATGTTTAAAACTAGTTGCAGAGGGATGTCCTAGACGGGAATGCCACGTCTCAGAGGAAACACTTAAAAGGGCAGATGAAATAGATGCATTAGTAAAAACGTATAGGCCACCACGTTCATGGCCCCGACCAATCTCCTTCTTCGTCAAAAGGTCCTGAAAAATGCAATAATTAGGATAAAAAAGAACAATACAATTCGAATGTTGTGCCAACTTTCGAACAGACAACAGGTTGAATTTGAAGGTAGGCACATATAAAACATTGTCTAAACATAAAGTGGAGGATAAACGGGTAGTACCGATGCCATGGACGGGAATAGACATGCCATTAGGAACAGAAATTTTTAAATTTGAGGGTGAAGAAACGGGAAATTTAGAAAATAAATCTAAATTAAAACAAACATGATCTGTGGCACCGGTGTCAATGATCCATTCATTAGAATTGAAAAGCGAAGTAGATAAGACAAGAGGCGTACCAATCATATTAGCTCTGATACCATGTAGAAATTGCTAGAATGGAAAGGAATGATCTTATTAACAAAGGACATGATATTTATACAAGTCTATGAAGCTATAACGGTAACACTATTCAAGGGAATAAATCAATAATAAATGAAAACTATACAAGGTGAGAACTAAGTATGGGAATAATACTATAATTAAAATATAGCTGTTACAGATTGGGTCAATATGTAACTAATACGTATTGATTACTACTCCGTATTAAAAGTGAAGCTAACTAGCTAAGTCACCAATCTGCGGAGTTTGTGATATGTCTGAAATCATGATTAGACGCCATTTCATTTGTAACAAAAATGATAATTGGGATTTTGGAGGGGTAAATTGGACGCCGATCCATCTGAGAATTTGAGAAATCATAAAGCAATAACTATCTTATTGCATAAATTTTTGTTTAATTGATCTGAGAAATCTTACATTTTACTCTGTATAACATTTGAATGTCAAATCATAACATGTTCCATTATGTTAATAGTCATTTTAGGATTTTTTTTGTCGATTTAAATTGGTCTATTCCATTTGATGTTATTGATTTTTTTGTAAATTGGACTGTAATAAAATTGTAAGTAAATTTGAATGGATCAGAAAGGCATAAATTGGTCGAAACACCATTAATATATTCAAATAATCCGAATTTATGTTGATCATGTATAGTTAAGAACATGATCAATGTATTTAATAATAAACAATTGGGAAAAAATTAAATAGGAGTAAAAATATTTGAAATTTCCTAAGTAAAAATAGGAGTAAAAATATTTGATAGTTATGTTTTTATTTCCTAAGTAAGAATAATTACTGTCAAACTTTAAAAATACTATCACATTTAAAATCTGATGATGCCCAAATATGACAGTAATTACTCTAGTGTAAGAAACATAAAAACATGATCATTGTATTTTTTTTTTTTAAAAAAATCGTCTATTCAAAGCGACTTATTTAAGTAATTTCATAGCGTGTGTAATCTACAAGTTAGTGTGTGACTTGTATATCAGTATATCACTATCCCAAAACCATAAAATGTTTTTATTGCACAAAGATCGTTTAGATTGACCATAATAAATTCATATTCACGTCATAACAATGCAATGGTAAGTGTATTCTAATGTGGTCTATTGTGTCTTAAATGAATCTAATGTACCTAGATAATGGAAGCACTTCAATTACATGCATTCTCTTTTTGGATTTCAATTAAATGCATTCTAGCTATTAAATGGATTTGAAGAATCTATAGTTATTTAACATAGAAGAAATAAAAGACTGGTGATATTACGTGAAAGAGGGAGATCGAGGCGACCGGGTCTGGGGTTTCTCCTAGGCGAGCAGTCTTGTGGTTACCCAACAACAAGCCATTTTCTTCTTCAGCAGCCCCACAACGCCTATATGACAGAGATCGCGAACAAGGCAAGGGTAGGCGGGTCGCGGCTGGATGGGGGAAGAGGCAGACCCAGCGCTAGATAGTTTGGAAAAGTTGATCGGCCAATGCGACAGTTTAGAGATCAGGACCGAGGATGATGAACTAGTGCTTGATGAGAAGGACGTTGTGGACCGCGTGGAGCAGGCTTTTCCAGAGGCTCACCCCCCTCTTGAGCCGCCACCATGGAGTGCAAGAGAGTCTAGGGTTTGTAAGTAGATGAATGAACTCTGTTTCAATTCTGTTTTATTTTGTTTGCGTTTTTCTTTCGAACTACATGTTGTTTGGAGTGTGTTTTTATTTCATAGCAGAACTCTAAAACTTAGGACAAGTGATGAGAAGTCTAGTTTGCCTGTCATTGGCTCAATTGGGCTCATTACAAGATCAACAAATCTAATTACTTCTACAGAGGTGATACATTCTAAGTCTGGTTCAAGAGCGGATGACAGACAGAAACCTTTTTGTCGTTTTGTTATTTTAATAAAAGCCACTTTCGTTCAAATAAAAAACATAGAAGAAATAAATAAATTAACCATTCAGCTACATATAGGATAACATATACTATCGTAATATGTTTTTTACAAAAATATTACTAGAGTAAAATTCATGGGAAAAAAAATGACCAAGGCTACTATGAGTGTACTTTTATAGTCACAGTGGTGTCTAATTTGAACATAAGTATTATCACGAAAAGGGGTTAGGGCACAAACATCATTTAGGAAACATATAGGCATGCCAATCATATATGCAATCAGTTAGGGATTTTCATACGAAAAGACAAATAAAGAAGGTCATGTTAGAAGAAAAGCATGAGTTAAAACTCATAACCATGGCCTAACAAAGAATTATGCTTCCACAAATTCGTACACCGAATTACGTATGCAACATGTTAAGGCCTTTAAAGGTCCATGCACCCACACAAGAGGCTGCCAAAGAACAAAAACCGGAGAGGAATCACCTTCGTTTTTTGTAAAGAGGCAGCCATTTTGAAACCATTTTGTCAATGACTTATTGAACACTAGGGTCAGGGTAAGGAGGATGGTTTATAGGCAAACCGTAGAACATAGTCCATACTTGTTGTATCCACCGGTCAAAGGTAGATGCAATCATTTTGCAATGGCTATGGTCTTATCATTGGAGACTTGGAACACTTGGGTCCAAAAGCATTTGTGGAACACTCATCGATCGACCTAGATTCCTCGTAGGATAGTAGAAACCCCAAGTAAGATTTCAACTATTGTCCTCCTTTAAATCCTTCTTCATTCTCAGAAATCGGGCAAGATCTCAAAATCAGCGATGAAATTAGACAACTTCTCAAAATTGGGGACGAAATTGGGCAAGATCTAGGGATCAGGGGAGAATCCGCCGAGTCCTCAACCATCGCACCATACCTTTGTGATGAAAAAAACGATCAAAAATTAGCTCTGGAATTAAAAAGAAATTAAATAAATCAAAATTTATGAAATTTTAAATCATAATTGAAGGCTTTTCAATCATTCGATCCTTGTATCAACTAATTTTAAAAATTAGCGGGAAAAACCGAACTGAAACCCGGAAACCGACCCTAGCCCGACCCGAAATATGATCCTGGTATGGGTTTTTTCTTTTTAATCGGCCCGAATAAAAAAAATCCGGATCGAACCCGAAATTTCGGGCTCATTAAGGGGCTCTTATATCTATAATCCAGCCCGGACCGATAGAAAACCGAAACAATTAACTTTAATATAAAATTAATATAATATACGAATATGGTTTATAGATTAATTCCTATATATGATTATAATCATGGTGGAGTGATGCACCTGTCAGACGGGTTGAGATGTGTGGAGAAGAGGTAGGGAAGCGAGGGAGAGGAAGACACAAACAAATGTGGGTTAGGGCCTTAGGGGGTCCGAAGTGATATGCTTCTTCTTGGTTTGGATGAATGCATGACTTTGGAGAGAGCAAAGTGAATGAAGGGTATTCGTGTGGAGGAGTGATTTCGTATCATCATTTCCTCTCATTTTTTCTTGTTTTTTATCCTTATATATTTATAAACATTATTTTTATCCTTTTTATTTTATCATTTTTATGTATATTCATCTCTTTTTATATTATCTTTTTTATAATAGCTTATCTTTTTTATCTTTATTTTCTTTCTTGTCCGTTTGGTGGTGATATCATATATCGTTTCATGTTAACCGACCCCAATATCTTTTGGGACTAAGGCTTAGATGTTGTTGGAGGAAAGTGTCAATTGAGTACATCAACTTGTATGAGGTGGAGTAAGAGTACATTATATTGCATTTGACATTTGTAAGTATATAAACTCGCTTATTTAGTGTTAATTGAGTACACTTTTTAGATTAACATATTAATGTGGCTGAGTTGACTAACGGAATGCTGAGTAAGAAGGGGTAATGCACCAAGATTATGGCGTCGACCTTCACGAAGTTAACAATTAAGGAAAAATCGACCTTCGGAGGTCGAGCTGAAGGGGTGCATCGACCAAGGGGAAGTCGACCAAGGGGGCTGACATCGACCAAGGGGAAGTAAATAAGGGGGTGGGGGTGGCGTCGACCTTCAAGAAGTTGACCTATTAGCATTTTGTTAGTCAACTTAACCGTATTAACGTGTTAGTCTAACGGGTGTACTCAATTAACATTAAAACCCCAACTTTGAGTACTTAAAAAGATCAAATGCGACATAGTGTACTCTTTACTTCATCTCATATAAATTGATGTACTCAGTTGACACCTAAAGATGTTGTTGTTATAGCAAATACCCGATTCAGACCAGATCAACACATTTTATCATTTGTTCTTTTTTTTATCGTTATTTTTGTTCTTATTGATAATCATTTATATTTATATTCGTTCTGAATTGGGGGAGATGAGAATCAAAATAATATCTCCCTCCCCAGCAACTCATACTAATCGGCGCGTTTCGACGGTTCGACCCTCTAAAGCTCTGAAATTTCGCCCAAATCCCACCACTACTCTGAAAGCCCTAATCGGCGCTCTTCAATCTTTGCTACCGGTGACTGGTGATTCGGTGTTCCACTACCAGTCCGCTGCTTCTCAGACGTAGATACAGGCAACGAAGACACTTGCAGTGTTCTTTCTCCGGAAATCCCCGGTACCCTTTCTCGCTTCGCCGCTCCTGTTTTGTGTTCGTCTCCGAATTCAAAACTTATATAATTGAAATTATGGAATACCTCCGACTTAAAGGCCGTACAAAATCGACAAAAGAAACGTTTGAATATTATAGTCCCCCCAAACAAATTAGGTTAGGTCGTGTATGATAATGCCAAAATGTGTCCCTGTGATTTCACAATTGAAATAATTTACTACTGTTTTGGGGGGGAATATAGGACTCATATTTTCAAATTTTACCCTGATTTCACTCTTATTTTGGGAAATTTCCCACTGTACTGTAAGCTTTTCTGTTTAAATTTAAAGTTCTTGCTTGTTTTTCACTCTGCAGGATTGTGTTATTATTGAATTCACTCTGTGATGGAAACCTCTGTTGAAGAAGAGTTGTCTGCATTTGAAGCGAAAGTGAAACGGACCGTGTATATTGACAACCTCTCACCACTGGTTAATGAATCAGTCCTTAGGTCTGCCTTTGGTCAGTTTGGGAATGTCACGGGTGTTCAGTTTATTCCCAATTACTTGGAACCAAATGAAACCTCAAAAGCTGCTTTGATTGAGATGGAAAATGCTAGGCAGGCCGAAGGGATAATATCTGACATCTCTAATTCCCCTTTTATGGTATCCGGGATGCCAAGACCTGTAAGGGCACTCCCTTCAGAAGCTTTGATGTTTGATGAGCGCCCGAGAAGACCGGGAAGGAAAATACACTGCCGTTGGTTGGAATCCGATGATCCTAAATATAAGGTGGCCGAGAAGCTTGTACACTTGACCAGGAGACATGCTGCAGAGGCCTCTTTCCTCCGAACGGTATAAGTTTCAATTCCGTTCTCTTCGTTTCACAATTTCCATTCTCATATTTTCAACTATGAAGCACAATAACTGGGAATCGAGAAACGTGCGTCATTTTTTAATGTGTAGATATATTAAACTAAAGAGTACATGTGCGAATAATCAAATTTACTACTACGTATTATAACAATATAAATTTATCATGAACTCCATATTTTGGAATAAGTTAGCACTTTGCTATGCATGATGCAAAGAGATTTTAAATACAACCCCCTCTAATGAATAGTTTGTTGATCATCCATACTTTTAGTGTCAAGAGCAAGAGGATAAAGAGCTTGCAATCCAGCAAGCAGAGGCATTGAAGTCCAACTACAAGAAGTATGAGCTGATTGACAATGTTTTTTCTGACAAAACCGTTCATAAGCTTGGAGATCGATATCATGTCCGTGTCTCAGATGCTTGAAGACTTGTTCCCATCCCAATCTGCAAGCTTGGTCATCTTATTCAAATGATGTTTTTGTTCGTGCGAGCGCATGTATTTAGTGATCTTTTGTCGTGATCATATTTTGGTTGCATGCTCTTTGTAGTTACTACGCAGTATCCTTTTTTTACTACAACTAGTATAGTACCCGTGCATACGCACGGGTCAAGAACTGTTGTGCATATATTTGTATTCAAGATTTAATTAGAAACAAATAAAAATTACATTTTAAATTTTAATATTATTCCAAAAGGTGATTGTATAATGAGTACCATAAAATATAAGAAAAATATTTAAACACTAAAAGTAAAAGAATATTAGGTGAAATTAATTGACACACATCCATTATAATTTGCTACTATTAGTTAATATTGTCGGTAAAATATAATAAAACCAAACTTATTTGTTAGGAATTTTGAAAAACCTTTTCAAGTACAATATTCTTAATAGTGTATGTATAATGAGTTTTCCTCCTCATTATGTACCAAGTTCATGAGCCAATGTTTGCTCTCAACTCTCAATAAGGCCCATATAGTTATCAATGACTATAAGACCTTGATATTTGTTGATTATCATATCATAGGAGACAATTAGGAGAAATGTTCTTGTGATAAGTTTAAAGGTCATTACGATTGAGAAGGAGCATACATGTTATTAAAAAGAGAAGTAGAAATGAAATGATTTCATTCAAGTGTTGTGCAATATTTAATCCTTGCGAGAACTCCAAGTGTTTAATAGAGAAGACATATAGTGCAAATACACAAGTTGAACAAAAACTCTAAATTCTAAAAAAAAATGTAAAACAAATGGTTGGATTCTAGTCGATGCAAGTCATTCATGATATAAGTTGTTGGCACTTGGCCTTCTGAAATACGAATTTCCTTGTCTACCAACCTCAAGCATCTGGTTTTTAAGATCTAGAGCAAATCTTCTAAGTAGTCGAAGGCATTCATGATCCCACAATACAAATTTGCATGGTTTTTTCCATGATATGCCAGGATTTCCAATCTTTATCTGTCAAGAAAACCTTAGACATATTAATATTATAATGTAAGTAAAGAATGTGTAGACATATGAGTAAGTAGTTGAAATACATGTGAAAAGATTTCTCATTATAAGTGCAACATGAACATGTAAATGAGGCATTATTTCATCTTCACAATAGATTTTATATTACATTTAGAGCAATGGCATAACTCCAAACCGCCTTACAACCAATTTTGCAATTGTACCAACACTGAAACATTTGGTCTCGAATGTTCAAGGCTGTGGGCTTGTAACAAATAAATAAAGTATGAGAACGATGGCTTAAAACTACTCCAAGAACACAAATAAAAGGTTTATGCCTACTTTTATAGTCTATTGTTATTGTTTTAATTTAGCTAAGAAACAGATTTATAATAACCCGACAAATGAGCAAAACTCTAATAGTAACATAATTAGATGCCCGAAACCGTCTTAAGAAATAACCAAATCCCCGAAACCGTCTTAAGAAATAACCAAATCCTACTGATTCTTTTAAGAAAAAGTTTGATGCTCGAGTTTAGCATATACAGGCATTTTTTAAAACAAATGTTTGATGCTATTAGTTAGAATTCTTTAATTTCATTATATTGAAAATGTGGGCTTGCTATTCATATACCCAAGGCTTTGTGCTTGCAAAGTTGGTTGATTTGGTTGAAGGGGCAAAGCTATAACAGAAAAATAATTGCTTCAATAATGGGAAAACTGAAAACATCTAACTATACACAACCAAAATAACATAGGGTCAATTGAAAAGGTGTTTAGGAAAGTTTAAAATATGCTAGTAACAAAAGTACCACAACCATTTCTATCATCCGAATGGGACATATAGATTAAAAGGAAAAGTGAACGGCAAAGAGATGTGTGAATATTTTATGAATTTAACTAAATATAGAAACAAACAAAAAAACTAAATATTGATTATTTAACTACGAAGAAGGTGTAATGCCTGGTGTAGAACCTTTGGATATTTTTTTTATATAAAAAATAAGATCCTTGATTTGTGCTTTATGTTTCGTAAAATTGATTAGATTCATATATGGGCAGAATGTACTCACATTTGATTAGATTTGAAATGAAATGAAATATATCAAGGAATATATCTAATCAAGTAATCATTCTATTAATCACCATATTTGAGTAAAAAACAAAATGAACTAATGACATTCAGATGTTCGATTAGATTACATATGTAAACATTTAATCACAATAATGATTAGAGATAGAGAAACAAATGTTGAACTGAAGTTGTGAATTGAGAAATACATAAACGATGAATTAGAGAGTACCTTTTTTTTTAATTAGAGAGTACCTCCGGTACTCAAGAAGTGGTAGTATGAAGCCCTAATGTCGACCTGCATCTGTATATATAGTGACGGTAAAATAGGAGTAGTGATTATCTGGAGGTCTCCTAGATTGGGTGAAGTGCTAGGTGCGGTAATCTGTATACAGAGACAGAGATGAAGAATTCTAAATAGAAGTAAATATCATTAAAATTGCTGGATTTCACATGCTATAATTGAGGGAGATGTTGTGATCTTCTGTCGCAGGTGATATCAGAAAAGTGAGGCTGAAAATTTGCCGAGATGAGAAGATAAACATGGAAAGCGTTCACAACATGTGTGATGATATATTTAAAATTAAAGAAGTCATGTGGCAGTAAGATATCAAAGGAGAGAAAATTGGGGAGACAAACACAAAATTGACATCAGGTTACTATATTGATGTCCAGAGGCAGTTACTTCCCCAGACACAAAATTGATGCCCAGTTACTTCCCCGACTCCCACAATTTTAATAACCTGTGTATCTTAAAACAGTCCCCTGTTTTTCTCAAACTACCCCTCTAACAAACTCACATTTCAAACCGGTAAGAGAATGCAGTATGTTCACTTTATACATTTAAAGATAACCATATAAGAAATGAGTTGGATGGTATTTACAGAAAGCTATCACTCCCTATATGCCTGAAGTAACTATACCTTGAATATAGGATCCAATATATAGTTGTGGAAGCTCAAATAGTTAGAGCAAAGAAGCTGAAGAACATGCTATTTATCGAGCGCAAATTATTTATCCTCCCAGGAACTCCTAGAAACTCCCGTGTGCAAAAGGATGACGATTTTTTGGCAACATAGTAGCACTTCACTTTCACAGTAACAACAATATAACAACGCTTGAAAACATGCTTCAAAAAGTTGTGAAGAAATTCAATCAGATAATTGGATAAAATTCTGGAAAAATCTATGGCCATAAACTTTTAATTAGAACTGAAAAACAATTGGCCAAAAAAATTGAAAGTTAATGAGTTTATTATTCTTTTCGGATAATTAAGCTTCTTAGTTGTAATGTATTTTTTCTCTAAGGGAAAAATTTAACTTTTTCTAACCTAATAAATTCCTAACTTGGAGAAAAACTCATCATAGTTGAAATAAAGCAATGGAGGATATTAATATAGTGTAAAAAAATCCTGGTGAGAATCACTCCTTGAGTCATTTCCCTCTTTTTCTAATATTTAAAATAACTGAAAACACTAATACGAACATATGATAAGCCATCAAAAATTCGTTCCTAAGGATGTTCACAGAATAAGTTTTCTTACGAACATAATAAGCCATCAAAAAGTTATTTCTGATGACATGATTATCCTAAAAGCCATCTTAGGCTAGACTCAATTCTAATTTTCTCAATTTAGAAGTTGCAAGGCAGACATTATGAATTCCCAATTCTGAATTATAAAATCTAATATGCTTTTGTCATCAAAACATTTTATCGAACACCTTATATGCTACAGCTTACATGCTTTATGCACTTCCAATACGTGTAAAGATAATTAAAAAAAATCAGCAGCAAATACTTGGAATCCTTTAAAGCTTACAATGAACACATTCTTATACATATATATATATATATATATATATATATATATGGACATTAACAGGCCGCAAATACTAATTAGATGAAGAGAAAGATGATGGAATCAGAATAGAAGGCATACCTGCGTTATTAGAGAGTGCAGTAGCATAAAACCCTACTTGTATTCTAATGACATATATAGCGATGATAACTGCAGTAGTTTCTGATTTGACGTCTCTCAAGCTTGCGGTAATTTCGTCGACGGGGAGCGGGAAAGCCGTGCTATACATGGCAAGCTCTCCAGCGGAATATCCCAATCTGGCGAGGAATTATTGGAGAAGAAAGTGGTGTGCGCTGGTTTTTTGTGTTTTTTTGGCCGAGAAAATTGTGCGCAGGAGAAGAGGGGAGTTATTTTTTTTGAAGCGGTCGTGTTTCTTTCTCGACAACAAAGCCACGTGGATCGCCCAGAGAAGCAGAGTGAAATACGGGCCAGAGGACACATAGGATCGGAGGGCAGAAACGTACTTTTAACAGCCTATTCTTTTCTTATATATAAATAGATATCAACTATGATCCACAAATCATTCAAGACGAGTGTAAGGATTAAAAGGATTTAAAAGGATCAAGCTATTATGACACAAATTAGTGATGGACCGGGCTGGGCTGGTTCCGGTTCGGACCAGGGCCCGGCCGGGCTTTTTTTTTGGAAGGGAGAACCGGAGCCGGCCCGGGTAGGCACGGTTCCGGGCCGGGCCAAACCGGTTCATGTTATTTTTTTTCTTTTGCTTTTCTAATTAACCCCCGACCCCCTTCACCCCCAACCCCCCCCCCCCCCCCCAAAAAAAAAAAACACCCAGCCCAACCCGGGAGAAACCAAAAGAATTGAAAAAAAAAACAAAATAGGCCTGGCCCGACCGGGCCGGTTCCACTTTTAGGAGGCCCGAGCCCGAGCCCTTTTAATCCCGGTTCGGGTGGCCCGGACCGGTCCTATGACCGGGTTCCGGGTTCCGAGCCGGGCCGGGCCCAAACAGTACAGTTCCGGGCCGGGTGGCCCGACCTGAATCCATCACTAACACAAATCAACTACGCACATTTAAAATTATTAACTTACATGTTTTTACTTGGACAAATTTCAATCCTAGACCAGAAAATTAAATCTAAGTAAAAACATCCTTAAAAACATCCATTTATTACTTTAAATTATGACTTAGGATTCCCATTAAAAAATAACACTATATTTCGGCAACATTATATTTTAAGAAGCAATTTGGGTGAGTATATAATGTAGTGGAGTAAATGGTAATGTTTGTGACGTTATGGACTTATTAACGAGACAATTGATAACTTTTATTTGTGAAGGAGGAAATAATTATTGAAATGTATCTTTACCTTAATACTCCTTCGGTTCCTCCATTGCAATTT